TCCTGGAGTCAAATTTGCCTTGCCCCTTCACTCACCTCCTTCAAGATCCATCTCAAGATCTCCCTCTTTGACTGTGTGTTTAGTCATATTTCCCCCAAAGGAGGTGCAGTTACCACCCCTTCTGATTCCAACCTCCAGCTCAGGTGCAAGCCCGCGACTGTCCAGTGCCCTGGGACTTCCTCTTGACGTGAAAGGCACTATATAAATGCAATTTTTGTTATTGTTATCATTCAATTGTACCTCCATACAGAAGGTACTGCAACCAAGTGAATTTCCATTTGTATAGCGCCTTTCAGGAGGACATCTCAAAGCATTCCACAGTGCTTGATGGGTTCCCAAGCTGGGGATGGGACCTGCAAGGGATGGGGAGGGGAAAAATACTTGTGGGGGAAGTGGGGAGGATAAGAGAGAAATAATAGTGGTGATATTAATACCAGCTTTATAATGCAATTTAACACAAAAGGCAAGTATCGGATAATAGAATCCTCATGTTAAACAGACGGGTTGACAACGCTCCAATACGCTCAGTTGTACAAATAGGTGATTCGAGCCTATTCCTGGCATATTTCAAACTCACCATGTTACATTATTATAGTCTATAATTAGTCTAGAATTTTAAAAACACCCCCATCACGTCAAATGGTTTGTTTCATTTGCAGTGCCATCTTAGAACATTTATAATTTAATGTAAAGAAAGCACCACACAAAATAGTGGTTGGGATCCAAAACATCCCAGTCTGGGTTAATAATAATAATCCTTGTATTTGATATAGCGCCTTATCACGTCTTCGAGATGTCTCAAAGCGCTTCACAGAATATGCTGTGAAGTGAGTAAGTAGACTGTAAACTTTGTGGGCGAAACACAGCAGCCAATTGCGCACAGCAGTGTCCCACAAACAGTCGTGGATTGAGTGACCAATTTTTTTTTAAAAAAAGGAACTATAGTCGGAAAAGCAATCTACCAATCAACTAATAACCGGATTCCTATTTACAGCTAGGTAAACAGAGGCGTGAGGAGTAGGGAAACTTGCCCAACGTTTCGCCCAGCCGAGAATCAGACCAGGTCTCTCGCTTGCAAGGCGAGTGCTCTAACCACTGAGCTACCAGTGCTCTAATGCCCTCCTCGTCGGTCTCCCATCCACTACCATCCATAAAATCCAAATCATTCAAATCTCTGCCACCCGCATCAAGCTCCACTCCCCGATCACCCCAGTCCTTGCCAGACTGCACTGGCTGCTTGCCCCAGACAGGATCGACTCCAGGATCCTCACGCTTGCATTCAAGTCCCTGCACTCCTCTGCACCCCCCTACCTTTCTGACCTCCTCTTTCTTCAAAACAGTGCCCGTTGCCTTCGTTCCTCCGGATCTGACCTCCTCCTCGTGCCCCGAATCCTCCGCTCCACTCTTGGCGGCCATGCCTTCAGCCACTATGCCCCAGGGCTCTGGAACTCCCTTCCTCACTCCCTTCGCCTCGCCCCTTCCCTTCCTATTTTCAAGTCTCTGCTGAAGACCTTTCTTTTCGACCGCGCCTTTGGTCACCTTCCTCCCCTTCCCCCTGGCTCAGCCCCAGGATCCATTACTGTGAAGCGCTCTGAGATGCCGTCCGGCGTGGAGGGCGCTGTATAAATCCAAGTTGTTTTTACAGGACTCCACAGGGTTATAACAGATCCACAATGAACAACCTGACAGTTCACTTCACACACATTAAAAACATGGGTTACATTGGGGCCATGAGGTTACCGCCAACACACTGTGTGCAGCACACTAGCAGCGCACCCAAAGTGATGGTGGCAACATAATGACCCTGAAGCCCTGAAGTTATTTTTACAGCTTGTGCAAAGTGGGCCAGCTGGCTGTCCACATGTGTAGCGAACGGGTCCACCTATGGTTCATGCTGCAAGTGAACCCTTGTTAATATGGTTCCACTGCACTTTCTGAGAAGCAAAATAGAGCTCGTCTATCCCAAGTAAAGCATTCAATTATGAATCTCATAGAATTTCAGTCTGGTCATAATGGAGTTCCATACTTTTCTTAACAATTTCTTGTCAAACAAGCCTTAGCGTAGTTGACATTGTCAGAATAACTGAGAACTGAAGAATGTGAGGATGTGGGGAAGTGGAGAAGTCATAAACTGGCTTATCCTACTTTTACCTGGAGTTCTGTTTTTGAAATTTAGGGTGAAAGGTTTTGTATTTTGCCTTCAGACCTCTGGAAACCAGTAAAGTATTATTGTGCAAGGATTGCAGTACTGTCAAGACATGTTTTTGCATGTGCACATTGCCATAGGATTTTTGTATCTTATCGCAGTTAAGGTCAGACCTTAACCACAGCATTCATCTTCTTTCAGCCCTGCCTCCCTCCTTCTGTAACCATTCACACATCGTCTAGGTCTTAGACGCATCTCTTCTTTCTATAATCTCCCACTATTGCCTTCTTTCGTCTTACACCATCAACACCTCTGATCTCTTCATCTTCTGTCCCCCACCTAAATGTTTCCTTTGTCTTTCTTTCAAAATTATCAACCTGAAACATTAACTCATTTTCCTTTCTCCATAGATGCTGCCTGACTTGCTGCGTGTTCCCAGCAACTTCTGTTTTTATACAATACAAGATTACATTTGTATAGCGCCTTTCACGTTGAGAAGACGTCCAAAGGCGCTGGGCAGTGAGGGATCTGGACCCGAGCTGGGGGTCGGGATCGTAGGGGTGAAGGGCAGTGGGTGAATTTTCAACTCTATCCTCTGAGCGATGGGGAGCCAGTGGAGCCGGGTGAGAGTGAGGGTAATGAGGTTACGGAGCCTGGTGCTGGACAGGACACGAGCTGCAGAGTTCTGAATGATCTGCAGCTTGTGGAAGGAAGCGTTGGGAAGGCTGACAAGCAGGAAATTGGCATAGTCAAGCCTGGATGTGATGAATGCTCGGATGCGATTTCAGCAGCCTGAGGGGTGAGGCAGTGGCAGAGCCGGGTGATGTTGCGGAGGTGGGGAAAGACAGAGCGGGTCATGGCACAGATGTGGGGTAGAAAGGATAGTTGAGGGTTAAACAAGTCGGCAAGGTTCCGGACTGGCTTAGCAAGGTGGAGCGTGCCACCATGGATGGTGATGCTGTCAGCGCCTGAGGTGAGGAGGTACTGACGGAAGCCAAACAGGAGAGCCTCGGTCTTGTTGATGTTCAGGTGAAGAAAGTTAGCTTTCATCCAGGACTTGATGTATGACAGGCAGTCTGTCAGGACAGCAGTGGTCCTGGAGTTGATGGTGGAGGCAGAGATACAAGAGCTGGGCATCATCCCCATACATGTGGAAGTTGACCTCATGTCTGTGGATGACATCACTGAGAGGGAGCATAAAGATATTGAAGAGGAGGGACCAAGGACAGAGCTCTGAGGAACGCCACACAAAACAGTGTGGGGGCTTGAGGAGAAACCGTTTGCGGAGATGTAGTGGAGATGGTGTGAGAAGTAGCGACTGGCTCGGCCCTGGAATCCGTTACTGTGAAGCGATCTGAGACGCCGCCCAGTGGGAAGGGCACTATATAAATCCAAGTTGTTGTTGTTGAGGTAGGATCTAAACTATTCAAGGACAGAACCGTAAAGGTTGAGGTGAGAGGAGAGGCGGTAGAGGAGGATAGAGTGGTCAATGGTATCGAAGGCAGTAGAGAGGTCAAGGAGCACGAGGATCAATTCCCGATTGTGTAAAAAAAAATGCTTCTTTAGAGCTCATCATATTGAAAGCAATAATTCTTGCCAGTGTAGTGTCTACATTTTGTAGACAAATAGGGGAGCCATTTGTACCAACAAAGACACCAAAACAGCCATTAGGTGATTGACCAATTAACCCGGGGGGATTGCAATGATTTTAACCACTACCCAAAGACGCACACAAGACCTTGATTTCATATCTCATTCAAAAGACAGCACCTCAAACAATGCAGATCTCCTACTGGACACAGATGCAAAGCAAAATGGAGTTTTGAAAAATTTCAAGAGTCTTTGCATTGCTACTGTGCGATACAGCATTAGTCTGCCTTTGTGAAGCTATATTTACTAAATAATGAATTCATAAGATTGTTAAAGTTGCCATTAGTTGTTAACTAACAACAAACTATGCAGCGAAAAACATGCATGCATGTATGCACCACACAATTACAGAATTTCACGGGGAGGGCATTTTATTATTTTCCCATGGAGGTTTTGATATTAAATGAAAAACAAAACGTTTGAAATATTATTTTCTGCACATTTGCCTACCATATTAAAATGAGAGTAGGGCTCCATAGGTTTAGCTGACAGCAGCAACAGATGGTCAGCAATCATCTACACGTATTCAACTAAGTCAACTGTCATCTTCTTGGATAATCATCAGAGATTGGTGGTCATTAAAAGCTCTCGTTCCCTTAAGACTACGTGGGCAAATTACACTATCTGATATGGCACGAACCCAGTACATTAGAACATCCCTGGTCAACCTCTGGTCTCAACTGAGGTACCTAATCTCATCCTGAGGAATGCATAACACTGAAAATTGAACTCAAGTGTACCTGATATTGGAGCAGGAAGGTGGAAGAAACATTCAGGAGGGACTGGTCCTATGGTTATCTATGGATCCCTGCTGGTCTGGACATTTAGGCATACTTTTCTTATGTTCAAAATACACTGCAAATAAATGTGATGACACTTCTCTGGCAGATGTAGAGAAGACAGTTTAAACACAATTTCCACACCTGTCCAAAGTTCTGCCTTCTCACTTCTTAGTCAGAAGGGCGTGGTTTCAGCCTAGTTTTGAATTTTCAAAATGTATTTACTCGGTTTAATATAGTGGGTAGAATATTATCTTAACATGTACATCATTCTCTCACTCCCAAGAGGCACACTATGCATATGAAACCTCCCACCATAAGCCAATAAATATTACAATAAGATTGGTGAAACACACTCAGTGGGAGTCTCAGAGAGTATAACATAGCGCTCATCATTCTTACAGGGAGATAAGGGCAACGTTCACCTTAATCATCCTTCCTCTCAAAACCTGGAGCATCAGATGAGTCTTCCAAGTAAAGGCCAAGCACACTAGAGTCCAGGACCAGACAGCAGTGGGATTGGAAAGGCTGTAAAAATCCAAAGACATAATTTGTTAATAAAGTGGGTCCTCACTCCATTGCCAAACACCAGGCAGCAAAATTGAGCACACACAAATATACACATGTTGTTCAGCAGTAGAAAACTGAACTTGGGTCTAAATAGGCAGCCATATTTCTCCTTAGCTCAATATTTGCTCAGTCAATTCTGAGGAGACAGCACCGACACACACAACTCCACCAGCCCAACCAAAAGAGAGTTCATGAACAGAAACAGTGCACCATGTTTCATGGCTGATATCCTGTACGGCCATTCGGGACAGGTTGAAGCATCCCAAGATACAGCAATTCTCAGGGTCCTTGCAAAGGCAGATGTCTAGTTTAAAGCACCAACTCGTTTGAGGAGCTGTTCCAGTCACTTTGGAGGACCTTCAGCTCAGTCTTTCATCTCCGAACATTGGGGGTGACAGACTCTTGCACCGAGTAAGCAATCTCTATCCCACCCTCCATTAAGCGCTCTTTGGATCATCCTCCCTACACGAAAGACGCCATACGGATGTAAATTATATTTTAAAATTGCATTGTATTCCCCCTAAAAGAAATGGAGCTGGCTTACTCTACACAAAACTCAGTAATGCATTGAATCTGGAATAAAGTGTGACACGGTGCAGAGAGAACCTGGCAGAACTACGAAAGATGTTTGTTGAAGGGAGGGCTGCAATTTAAAGTTCTGAATAAGCACAGAAAGGGATTATGCCTTAACAGGTGCAGCAGGAGAGTGGCTGAAGTTGCTTCGCGAGAAGCAGAAGTACAGTTTCACAGTGGGTTTGCTGCAACAGTGCAGATTATCGAAACAATATGAAACTCTGGCCTAGAGGAAAATTATTAAACTCTAACCCCTCAACTCTACCCAGCAGCCAGCTCAACTACAAAGATTGGGTAAAAGGAACAAAAAAATAGTTTGGTGCAATAAGAGTAAAAAATATGAAGCTTATAGTTACTACAAAACACACATTTTTTTTTAAAAAAAAACTTTAAGGGTTCAGAGAGCAGGACCTGATCAACAAACACTGAAACCCATTAAAAGTGGTTGGTTTAAGCGACAGGAACATCAGTCTTTCTGTTTTAAAAAAAAGTGCATTCTTAAATCAGCTTAAATGAAGAAAAAATAAAGCTTTTTGTGGACCACATAGGCCTCGACTGTTTTATATATATATATATATATATACACACACACATTGCATTCCTCCATGGAAGGAAGGAAGGAAGGGAAGAAGGGTTGCAAAGTGCACGATTCCGTGCAATACCGACCTTCACTACAAAATTACCTTCACCCCCAACACACACACACACACACACTCCCCCCTCTCTCTCTCTCTCTCTCTCTCTGTGTGTGTGTGTGTGTCTCTCTCTCTCTCTGTCTATCTGTCTCTGCAGGAAAAAAAAAGTTGCTTTGCCACTTTCCATTTTGTTGACAAGTTTCTATTCGGCTAAACAGAGCGAGAGCAAGTCCTGCACCTCCAGCAGTTCCGTATACGATTCCTTTTTTTTGGGGGGGTGGGGGGGGGAGAGGAGATGGTGACTGGGGGGGGGGGGGAGAGTGTGGGTGAGGGGGGGGGGAGAGTGTGGGGGGGGGAGAGTGTGGGGGGGGGGGAGAGTGTGGGGAGGGGGGGGGGGGGGGGGGAATGCAGACCCTTTTTACCTTCAATTAAAAAAAATGACACTGTAACAAAAGTGCAAACCCTACCTGCCCTGAACACCCCACTCCTCCTCCTCCTCCTCCTCCTCCTCTCTCCTCGGATAGAGATAGATTGTAACCCCCTAATCCAGTCTATAAACTCCCTAATGCAACAAAGGAAGCGCTGTGCAATGCAATGCAATGTCCCCGCTGGAGAGAGAGAGAGAGAGAGGGGGAGAGGGGGGAGGAGAGGAGAGGGGGGGGGGGAACCAGGGGACCCCGGGGGTGGGGTGGGGGGGGGGGAGACTCCAGCTCCTGCAGGCGCCGGGCTCCCCTGTCCTGACGCCGGTGCCAGATGGCAACGCGAGAGAGGTGGTGGGTGTGGGAGGGGGGTGGGGGGGAAGCCAGGCCTGCGCTTGAGCTTGCACAGGGGGGGAGGGTGTGGGGTGGGGGGGGGGGGGGGGGGGAGACGGGCACTAGGCCTCTTTTAACACACCGTTAACTTTTCTTCCACATCATCCAATGAGCCCCGGGACGCTTTGCAAACCCCCCCACACCCCCCCCTCCCCACACACATCCCTCCCCCCCCACACCCTCCCCTCCCCACACACACAGCCTCTGCTCTCCTGCTATCAGGTCTTGCACGGGGAGTGAGGGTCTGGGGTGTTGCACTGTCTCTGGGTCTCTCTCTCACACACACACATATATATATATATATATAATGTGTATTATATATAATATACTCACACACACCCGCGCGAAAAAAATAATTAAGACAATGATGAACCTTAGGCCTCTCCAAACGTGACCTTTTCCATCCGGGGGTGTGACCCCTCCCGCCCCAAAGCACCGTTTGCAAAAGCAAAAGCAAAATGAAAATTAAAAAAAGGGGAAAAAAAAAGCAACGACACAGACACACACTCCCACAACCCCACACACACCCACAGCCCCACACACACACACCCCCACACACACACACCCACAGCCCCACACACACACACCCCCACAGCCCCACACACACACACCCCCACAGCCACTGAACCGCGCAAACGACTGCATAAGAATATTTATTCCGATGCGAGAGTGAGAGTTAAACGCCTCCTCCCCCCCACCACCCACATACATATGCATACATACCCCCCCACTCCCCCCCCACACCCCCATGACCGCGGGCAGACAGACCCGGCCCGGCCCCGGTTGCTTACACTTTCCCTTTCACATGAGGACGAGCTGCCGGGCGGGCGGGGGGGGGGGGAGGGAGGGGAGGGCTCGAGCTTTAACTACAAGTTACAGCAGCATCAGGACTTTTTTCGTCCGTCGAGAGGAGGGGGTGTTGATGGGGGGAGAGAGAGACAGAGAGAGAGAGAGAGAGAGGGGAAGAGAAGGCGAGTGGAGGGAAATGGTTGCAGTCCGCCCGACAACCCGAGGATTTTTTTTTTTGCACGAATTGAAACGAAGCTCATTTACCGGAGTCCTTCCTCCTCCTCCTCCGCCGCCGCCACCACCACCAGCAGCAGCAGCCGCGCCCCCTCCCGCTCTCCCCCCCCCCCCCCCCCGCCCGGGGGAAGCCGGTCACCGTCACGTCCTCCACCGCCAGAGAGACAACCCCCCCCCCACCCACCAGCACCACCCCCCCCCCCACCTCCAGCCGAGACCAGCCTTTCCGCATTATTATTCTGGCCGCCGGGGAACCTGCTGCAGAGGTGGGTTGTTGTTTTTTTTCTAATATATATATATATATCTATTTTTAAAAAAAATCTTTTTCTTCTTTGTCAATTCTTCCTCCTCCTCTCCTCCTGGATCCGGGTAAAATATCCCCAGATTCCGCCAAGGCGGGTCGGCTCGGCTCGACTCAGCTCCTCTCGGTGAGAGGAGGATTTTGAGGGAGAGGAGGAGGAGGAGGAAGAGGAGGAGGAGGAGGAAGGGTGATGGTGGTGGGAGGAGGGAAGGAGAAGGCAGATGCAAAAAAAAAAGAGAGAGAGAAAAGTGTTTCAAAGTTCCTTTTCCAGATAAACACTCAGTTCTAATAATAACAACAAATACATTTTTTTTTAAAAAAAAATAAAAACGAAACAAACCCAGCACAGAGCAGGCAGTGAGTGAGAGAGAGAGAGAGAGAGAGAGAGAAAAAGAAAGAGAGAGAGAGAAAAGGCGGCGGATGAATTGAAATGAAATAAACTAAACTGAACTGGAAGCAATGAATGGAGAAGGTGATCCCCTGCTCGCCCGTTCCCGCGGATTTTTCAAACCTCATTTGCATCCCGCCCTCTCCCGATTGGCCGGCGGCCGCGGGGGCTGTTGGGTAATGTGGGCGGAGTTGGAAACCCCGCCCTCCCCTCCGCGTCACGGCGTTCTCCGTTGCCATGGCGCCCGGGGACGCTCCCGCCCCGCCTGGTGGTTCCCCCGCGCCAGCGCACTTTGACCCGGAGGTGGGGGGGGTTCCCTCGCGCCGCGCGACGCGACGCGACACGACACGTGCGCACAGGCCGGGGCTGGGGACGCACGCGGCACTGGGCGGGGCCCGCGCCCCGCCCGCCCGCGCCCGCCCTACCCGCCCGCCCGCCCGCCCGCCGCCCCACAGCCGTGCACTGCAGAGGGCGGGCACCGTGCACTTTGCGAGCAGCGCCCCTCTCTGTCGCCGTTGCTGACCACTTCTTGAGGATTTCACCAAAGGGCAGTCGGGGTTCGGCTCATAGGCTGTCCTTCTGCACATGTCCGCAGCTGCCCCCCAATCAGCCGTCAGAGGGCCTCCGCCCAAAAGGGGAGCAACAAGTCAGTCCCGAGCTCTGATGGGGTTTTTTTTTAAAAAAAAAGATATGTACTCCCACATGTTTTTTAGATTGAGGTTTGTGTCTCTCTTAAGTGTTTTACGATAGGGTTTTTTTTTTGTTGAAATGTTGGGATGAGGATCCGTCTGATAACGTCACTCACGGAGAATGACAGCAGCAAAATTGCATTGGTACGCAGCGCCGTTCACGTCGGGAGGACGTCCCGAGGCGCTGGACGGTCAGTGTTTCGGACCCGAGCTGCGGGTGGGGATCGGGGAGGGTGACTGAAGGGATGGTCAAAGAGGAGGGTCTTGACCTCTCCGACCTCCTATCCCCCTACCTACCTGCCCGTACCCTCCGTTCCTCTGGCTCCGGTCTGCTCCACATCCCCCGCCCCAACTGCCCTACCATCGGTGGACGGGCCTTCAGCCTCTCAGCCCCGAGGCTCTGGAACTCCATCCTCCAGTGCCTTCGCCGCTTCCTCCCTTTCCTCCTTCAAGGCCGGTCTCAAGACCTTTCTCTTTGACCGAGCCTTCAGCTCCCCTCTCAACTCTCTACCCCCTCCTCGCTCCCTCCCTCCCTTCCCTCCCCTCACCCTGACCATTTCCCCTCTGCTCAGGTCCCGACCCAACTGTACAGCGCCTTGGGACGTCCTCCCGACCTGAAAGGCGCTCAATAAATGCAATCTTGTTGTTGTTGTTGAAGGAGGCGAGGGAGGGAAGGAGGGAGGGAGCGGGAAGGAGGGACTGTGGGATGGAGTTCCAAGGGTGGGGACAGAGTGGCAGAAGGCCCGCCTGCCAATGGTGGGGTGGGCAAGGCAGGGGGTCGTGAAGCAGGCTGGAGCTAACTGAGCAGAGGGAACAGGTAGGAGGTTAGGTGGGAGCAAAGCCATGGAGGGCTTTGAAGGTGAGGAGCAGGATCTTGAACTATCCTCTGTGTGATGGGAGAGCCGACAAGCAGGGAGTTTGCGTAGTCGAGCCTGGATGTTATGGATGTGTGGATGAGGGTTTCAGCGGCCTGCTGTGTGAGACAAGTGGCGGAGCCGGGCGATGTTGCGGAGGTAGGGAAAAGCAGAGCGAGTCCTGGCACAGATGTGGGGTAGAAAGGATAGTTGGAGGGTCAAACAAGATGCCAAGGTTCCGGACTGGCTCAGTGAGGTGCATCTTGATGACGTGCAACTGTAGAAAGTTGGCTTTCATCCAGAACTTGATGCCTGACAGACATTCTGTCGGACAGTAGTGGCCCTGGGGTCGAGGGTGGAGGCAGAGAGTTAGAGATAGAGAGCATACATGTGGAAATTGACCTCGTGTTTGTGGAGTCCTGTAGCTCAGTGGTTAGACCACTCGCTTTGCAAGCGAGAGACCTGAGTTCAATTCCAGGCAGAGGGCGAAACCTTGGGCAAGTTTCCTTACTCCACACGCCTAATAATAATCCCTCCAAAAAAACAAAAATAATAATAAATTGGTCATTTTCAATCTACGACTGTTTGTGGGACATTGCTGTGCGCAATTGGCTGCCGCGTTCGCCCACAAATATACAGTCAATTCACTTTACAGTGTGTTCTGTGAAGCGCTTTGGGACGTCCTCCCGACGTGAAAAGCGCTATATCAAATGCAAGGATTATTATTATTATGATGATGTCACCAAGAGGAGCACATAGATGTTGAAAAGGAGTGGACCAAGGACAGAGCCCTGAGAAACTCTGCACAAGATGGTATGGGGGCTATAGGAGAAGCCATTTGTGGAGATGAAGTGGAGACGGTGTGAGAGGTAGGATCTGAACCATTCAAGAACCATGAAGGTTGAGGTGAGAGGAGAAGTGGAGGAGGATAGAGTGGTCAACAGTATCAAAGGCATTAGAGAGGACAAGGAGGCAGAGGGAACCCTGGTCGCAGGTGAACAAAATGTCATTTGTCACTTTGACCAGGGCTGTTTCTGTGCTGTGGACGGCACGGAAACCTGATTGGAGGGGTTCATGAAGGTAGTGGCGGGAGCGGAAGGAGCAAAGCTGGGAAGCAACATATCATTCCAGGACCTTGGAAAAGAAAGGGAGGTTGGAGATGAGGCAGTAGTTTGAGAGCGATGATGGGCCCAGGGAGGCTTTTTTTGAAAGATAGGGGTGATGTCGGCAGTTTTCAGCGGGGTGGGTATGGTACCAGCAAACAGGGAGAGGTTTATGATGTTTGAGTAGGAGAGCAAGGATATGGAGCTGGGAGGTAAGGAGAAGGGTATGGGTGGGATTGATGGAGCACGTGATCAGTTTCATGTGGGTTATGGTGGCGATGAGAGAGGAGGGGAAGACAGGTTTGAAGGTGCGGAAGGAGGGATGGGTAGGGGAAGGCTGTGAGGGGGGAGATGGGGAGGAAGGGCAGAGGCAGCTGAGTGGATTCCCTCGACTTTCGAGGAAGTCCAGCATCTCGCAGTTGGCATTGGAGGAGAGGATGGGCGAGCTGTGAGAGGGTGGGTGGAGGGGCCAGTTGGTGATGGAGAAGAGGAGCCTGGGGTTGTCCTTGGTCTTGGAGAAGAAGGACGATTTAGCGGAGGCGAGGGCGGAGACGTAAGATTTGATGTGGTCCAGCCAGATCTGCCGATGGACTGTTAAGTTGGATTTGAGCCTGGTGTGTTCAGTGCATGCACTTGAGCCTTAAGGGAGCAGAGGTGGCTGGTGTACCAGGCTGACTTCCATGAGTAAGAAATGGTTCAGGAAGTGAAGGGGGCAAGGGGAGAAGAGGTCATTGCGGGAGGAAGCCCAGAGGGAAGGAGTTCAGATGACTCCCAAGGCAGCAGAGTGGGAGGCGGGGGAGATTTTTTTCTAGGAGTGATAGTAGATGGAGGTGGGTTGGGTGGCCGTCAGGAGAGGAATTGAGGAGTTAAGGGAAATTAAGATGGCATTGTTGGTGATATTCGAGACCCAGGTAATCACCAGGTCAAGCAGGTGGCCATGGACATGGTAGAGGGTAAGGTGCTCAAAGGAGAGGAAGGTTCTGAAAGAGTAAGGGGATAGGCTGAGTGAGGACCGGGAGATGAGAGCCACACTGCCACCACGGCGGTTAGGTTGTGGGGTATGGTGGAAGGTGTAGCCAGATGGTGGGGCCTTGGTCAGGGGGAAGGTGTCATCTGGGGTGACCCAGGTTTCAGTG